ACCAGCATGTCTTCTTTTTCTTTGCGTTCACCAGCTGTGAACTCCGGTGTAAAGTTCTGGTTGTTCGTCCACTTCTGGACTGCAGTCCTGTTCCAGAACCTGAGTTTCGCGTGTGCATCTGTTTTACAGATCTGACTCATTTGTATGCAGACAACCGGTTCCTTGCCTCTCAGGCAGATGCACTCCGACTTTGAAGGAAGTTCCCAATTAGTTGACTCTTACGACATGCTTTTGGATAGGCAGTGGGTCTGTTTTCCCCACAATAGGGCCCCGGAACCCACACAGGGAACAGCATGTCTGAGTCTCTCTAGCCAGCTCTCCGGCTATATGTACTTTTATGCTGCCATGTGTGGTCAACAAAGGCTTCTAGTGATCCTCTATCAACGTTTGATCCTCTCTGTCATAGAATATGCACTGGCAATCCTCACCGTCAGCAAGACACATATTAACAAACTGCAAAATAAAGCAATGGGCATCATACTTTGCTGCACCAAAGACACATCATTTAGAGCAGTAAGATCACTACTAGATCTTTCCTATATACACAGCAGGCTTGAAATGCGCCAAGCACGTGCCTACCTCAAAATCACTGAGGTCCTTACACACCCACTGCACAATGCAGTGAATACACGTAAAGGCAACAGACCTAAACGAGGCCAGTCTTGGTTGGGTCGGGCAGAAACAATACTTCTACGGGAGATTTCCCTTCAAGAAATAAACCATGGAGAAGAATGGATACCTATACCAAATGAATACAAGCAGTACTTTGTGGTGGTTATCACCCTGACAAGACAGGGTCGTGATTTGGCGCCACCAATAGTTGATGCAGAGGTGAAAGCATTGATGGAGGAACACTCATCACCAGAAGATCATCATGTGCCCTGTCAACTGTCGTAGGCGCTGATGCATCTCCACAGATCACGATCCCTGGTTGCCTGGAACAGGTCTCTTGATCATATCCATCCATGCCCATTCAGCCCATCCAGCATCATCTCTCTTGGTCTGCCTCTACCCCTTTTCCCCACTGATCTTTCCAGTTGTTACGATGTTCTCCAATGTCTCTCTTCTCATTATATGGCTAAAGAACAGTTTGTCTCTTTCTTATTGTTGTATATAGAGATCTACTTTCATTAGCTTCTTTTAAGCAATCGTTGTTAATTACTATGGTCGTATAAGGTATTCGTAACATTCGTCTCAGAAACCACATCTGTGTTGCTTCCAAATTCTTCTTCATTTGTTCACTGACATTCCAGTGCTGCCACACAGCAGTACAGGTTTTATGTAACATCTTAGCACCCTCTTTCTGACCACCGGAAAATGTTGTTTATATATATATATGTGTGTGTGTGTGTGTGTGTGTGTATATATATATATATATATATACAAATGGTTCTGTGATTCGTCATAAGCGAAGTGCGTGGGCTTTCACGACAAGAACCAAAGAGAAAGTCATCAAAGCAGACCGGGGAGCCTTTGTTTCTACCACCAGCAACACGACAAAGGAGGTCATGGCTGTCTCAAGATAGTGGATGGAAGAGAGGACCAAGATAGGCAGACGAAGAATGTAATAGATTTTTAAAAAATGTAGCTGAATCCTATCATAATAATAATAATAATAATTAAATCCACCCAGGAAGCCCAAGACAAATGCAGAAAACCGTGACACTAGGCTAAAACCTGGTAACAGTTTGAAGAAAGAAGCTAATTTCTAGGTCATGACCAAAGCTGTCAAGAACTGTTTCTTGTTACCGTCTTCTATTGCTCTCTGTGGAAATCTGTAAGCTGTTTGTCTCACACTATGAAAGTTGTGGGTCTGGTTTGAGACTGGCCGTCAGTTTGCCAGCATAGTTACTTCAGAGATCACTGTATATCAGTGCGTAGCCTAAGCCATAAAGTTACTGCTTTAAATAACACCCTCACGGGACATTCTCATTGTGTTTCTTGAAGGCATCGTGATACGCTGACAAGGACAGGCTTCTGATGGACGGCAGATGGGAAAAAGGGACGTGGGGAACCTAAGAAAACCTCGAGAAGGACATCAGAAAGTGAAGTGAAAGACTGTAAAATAGCATAGTATGCCATAGGCAGAAAAGCAGCAGACCAACAGCAATAGAGATAACTTGTTATTGTTTTATGTTTCAACAGTGAAATGAGGACACGAACGTACATTTAATTCCATTGACCCCTTTCCGTCTTTCCAGACAATAGTGTTATATTGTGCTATGAGGAGGCATGGGACTCACAGCCCATGGCGATGGCGAGTGTGACCCGCCCGAACGTACATAAAACTGTAAATTACCTATGACGATGGAAAACTTGCTGCACATAAACAGCCCCAGAGAGTTGCGTGGTAAGGTTAGGCAGTTTATTACAAGAACTAAAATGCATACACAGAAGGGTAAAGAATGCTCTTGGCATCTTTGAGGAAGTTTGCCCTAAAGATCAAATCGAGGAGAATAATAAATGATTGCACGCTAAAGAAACAAATTATGCATAATGCTAATGGCATAATCTTAGTAAGACTGTCCAGTTATACACTTGTCATAATACAATTTCTATTATAATCTCAACCCAAATCAAAGCAAAATGTGAAACAATACAAATTACATTTTGGTCATATAAATAATTACATGATATACAAATATTAAATTAAAAATATATACGATGAGGACTCAACAAACACTAGGTCTATACATTCATTTATAACACTGAGGGTTGAACAGAATATTTTTGAAAAACGACCACAATGCTACACAGACAGAGGCGTAAGTCTTCTCTCCAATTCCCCATACTATGTACTCTTTCTTCTTCTTCTTCTTCTTCTTCTTCTTCTTCTTCTTCTTCTTCGCTTTCACCGGCTCTAAACTCTGGCAGAACGTTCTGGTTTTTCGCCTGATCAGGTTATTGGAAAGACAGCATGGGGGGGGGGGGGGGGGAACGAGTTTGAGGATCAAAGCCATAAATACCTTCTTGGCTTGGCAACACGGATGGGGTAGGACAGGAGAACAGACATGATCCGTGACTCTAGTAATCCTATGCAATGGCGAATCACGATGGCCTATGCTTATCAGCATGGCACATCATGATGATATGATGATAGTGACTGACAACTACATAAAGATTACATAAATAAAAACTAATTATTTTACATTTTTATCGGACAGTTTTGATTATCCCTCTACGTTTTATAGAAGATTCATTTGTCTCATATCGTGAGCGGAGACGCAGAAAACTGAAGTACATAAGCGTCGAAACCTATGGGTTCAAGTATCTGAGGTTCTCAACCCCAAACCATCCCCTTTTATGGGACCTCAGCACCCCCTCCAAATAAAGTTTAAGAAGCAAAGACCCCCTCGTTAACCATGTATAGGTGTCCTCTTTTGTAAGCATCAGTTTGTAGATGTTCATAATATTTCAGGTGCAGCCGATAGGAGACTTGCTGTCAAATCCAGCTGCGACTTGTTGCAGCCCACGGCCGGGATTCAAAACCGGGCGGTTCCCCTGGATTCACCCAGTCTCTAGTAAATGGGTACCAGAGTTGACTCTCTGGGGTAAATAGAGGAACGTGGCTGTAGCTACGGAGTTTCGTGCAGACGACGACACTGGCGGACAGTTTCTTATTAGCAGGTCCGGCTGTATATAATTAGAGAAGGCCGTGCTTAGTAGCTGTCCGTACGGGGGCAGAGCACTTATGGTTTATAACCGTCTGCAATGACGCTGTTTCACATCTCCCGACTTTTATCTATTATTTTATTTATTCGCCATTCAGTACACACTAATAATAGTAATAAATTAGGTCCTTTTAACTTTTCCCGGCCCATCTACACACTTTTTTTCAGTGTGGCCTACGTAAGAGGGGTGTCACGTTGTACTGTTTTCTTTGAAAAGAGTCTCTCGTGGAACCTATTAGACTCTGGGTAGGGGGTTTGGGAGATTGGGTTAGGGCCAGTTCTAGATGTTTTTGGATCGTTAAAAGCTGTGTCGTCGTGTAGTATAGAACATAATAATTGGAGGCAAGACAACGTGACACCCCTCTGACGTAGAACAGTTTTAGAAATTATGAATGAAAGCTCAGCCAGTGTGTAGATGAGCCGGGAAAGGTGAAGAGAACCTTAAATGAATATTTCATAATTAAACACGGCTTAAGCCTCTCTGCCTCTATAAAATTAAAAAGTGGGGCAAGACCCCTCCCCTTTCCTTTTTGTGTGTGGTAGTAAGTGCATTGTAACTACGAGAAAGTTAGACACACACACACACACACACACACACACACACACACACACACACATATATATATATATATATATATATATATATATATATATATAGAGAGAGAGAGGGATACACACAGAGAGAAAGAGAGAGAGAGATACACACAAAGAAAAAAAAAAAAAGAGAGAGAGAGAGAGAGAGAGAGAGAGAGAGAGAGAGAGAGAGAGAGAGAGAGAGAGAGAGAGAGAGAGATAATGCTGGGCAGTTTGGCATCTTGTCACGAAAAAATCGTCTGTCAGAAAAGAGGCAAACTATTCGAGACAAAAGGCTTTGGAAATACATTACTGCCAAAGTGAGCACTATATCAGCGGTTCTCGACCTGTGGTCGCGACCCTTTTTGTTTGGGGGTGGGGGGGGGGGGTCTAACGACCCTTTCACAGGGGTCGCCAAAGACCATCGCAAAACACATATTCATTGAAGTTATGAAGTAGCAACAAAAATAACTATGGTTGGTGGTCCTCACAACATAACCAACTGATAAAGGGTCGCGGCATTAGGAAAGTTAAGAACCACTGTACTGTATGAAATGACATAATATATAAATTTCAAATAACAAATATATACTCTGAGAACCTAATTAACCCTATATTTCCCATTAATAATCCTGAGGGTTGAACATGATATTTTTGGAAAAAAAAAAAAATACTACCATATGTACTACATGAAAAAGATGTTTGCGAAACGACTATATCACGAACAAGGTGAATTGTTTTGCATTCATTTCGAAGATGGCAGCTGTGTTAAGAAGTGTTGTCGGTAATAACTTTGTGGTGCCTACTACAAGGTCGTTACTGTTGGTAAGTTTTGAACACGACAGTTCAGTTGTTATGGATTGACATTTCAGATATCTTAAATCTGGGGTGTTTATTGCATAGCACTCACTGGCATATTCCTAACTAAACGGTCCAGTGCAAATAAATTAAATCTGTGTGACTGTTACTGTTTCTGCACTCAAGTTCCAGCGGTCGACAGCAGTAGTGGACTGAGACACTGAGACTGAGAATTGACCGTCCGTTCAGCTAGAAATCGCAAACTATTGAACTTTAAATCTGCCCCCCCCCCTCCCAAAGTAAAATCAAAATAGCCACACATAAAAATACGTCCTGTAAACTAGGATTATCCTACGCAACTAACTATAACTTTGATGACTACGTACGTACGGTGCCGCACAAGTGCCACAGTTGCCATTCATCTGCCCTGGAGATTGGTAGGCTTTACTGAACTGTAGACCTGTGAATTATTATTATCTATTTAACTCAGCGAAAATCGTAGAAATGTAAGCCCTTACCAGGTCCGGTCTTCCGAATGCTTCATTACCGTCAGGGGCCCAAGCTTACACTTACACTTGAATGAATGGAGCTTACCGGGATTTCTACATGTAAGGGGATACTCAGGTACTGGTAGAATTCTCATCCTTAGGTGTTAAAGTTAATCCTGTAGACAGGAGTTTTGAAAGGGGACAAACTGAAACCTCAACCAGGATATGAATGTTTATAGTTTATATCTTCTTCTTTGAATTCACCGGTTCTGGTTGAAGTGGTTGTTTTTCCACCTCTGGACTTTTTAGTCTTGTTGCAGAATCTGTGTTGCGTGCACAATTTTACAGATCTGGCGTATTTATGTAGATTGTTGGTCCCCTACCTGTGAAGCAGATGCACTCATTATTGGTTCCTCACCTCTCAGGCTGGTGCACGCTGACTTCGAAGGTAGCCCCCAGTTAGTCAGCTCTTAGGACATGCTTGTTGGTGAGGCAGTTCTCCTTTTATATTATAAAGTTTTCTTTTGATATAGTGAAATTGTACACAATTTTGTCGGAACTTGAAATTCTGAACTTGAAAATCTGTGTCAGTATCCAATATGTCTGACAGAAACTTCGACAGTGAGCAGGCAACTATAAGATTGACTTGTCTCTGGAAATGTAGGTATATAGAAGGATAGGTAATATTTCCTGGAGACAAAAACATTCCAATACAGAGGTTCTGGAAAGTCTGCAAAAAAAAAGAGAATTACTAAAAGAAAAAAAAAAAAAAAGACAATTAAAATACTTTGGCTATTTTAAAAAAGACATAACACACTTTAAAAAAAACATGCTGGAGGTAAAGGTCGAAGACCATAGAGCAAGAGGTGAGCAATGATACAAATGGAGGACAACATCAAGAGATGGACGAGAAGTAGTCTGAGAGAGTGCACAATCAGGACAAGAGACAGTGTGTGTTGAAGATCCATTGCAGCCAATCTTCAATGTGGAGATGGCACCTGATTGATGTCTTTTTTTTGGTAATCTGACCTTACAAGATTAAGTCATTAACAAGCAATTTAATTACGGTAGTGTTGAAGTAAGATAAATCTGGAGATGTGCTGTTAACAATAGATTGTGTACAGGTAATTGCAAATTTTAACTGTATATTTAGTCCATCTGCTGACCTTCATGTGACCTACAGCATTTAATACATATGATTGGCATTGTCTGTGAGTTCTGTGATTTACTTATAGGCCTAGTAAGACAGAGGTTGAAAGCAAGTCATGTTTATTAATGGGACATCAGTTCTTTTATTTTTTTTACCCCATCTCAGGGACTCTGGTATTTCAGATGAATTGTCGGTATTTCAGATGAATTGTCGGGAAAGTCTAAAATATGGGAGTGGGGGGGGGGGGGGGGGGGGGGGGGTGGGGGGGGGGGGGGGGGGGGGGGGGGGGGGGGGGGGGGGGGGGGGGGGGGGGGGGGGGGGGGGGGGGGGGGGGGGGGGGGGGGGGGGGGGGGGGTGCTGGGGAATTAGGGTAAGTCAGTGTTAATTTCACACCTTAAGACCCCTTTGCTACTGAACTTTATAGAATAATATTATGAATTGTTTCTATATTAAATTCAGTATGGCATGGACATTTTTTATTTTACCGAAATGTATGCAACATGGAACATTATCATAAGTCAGTTACTCACTGTGGAGCAGAGATGACAACTATATGTGGTCATCCTAATAATGAGTTCCCTACTGGGGAAGGATCAGTATTTTCCTTGAATTTGGATTATAGCTACCTCAGAGTTTAGGAACCAACAGTCTGCATACAAAATAGATCTGTAAAACAGATGTGCATGCAACACTGAAGGCCTGCTACACGATTCTAGTCCCTGACAGATGACCAACCAAACCTTTCATGGCAGGCGATCACCACTGCATATATTTAGTAGAAGCAGTGCTAGTTCTTCTTTAGCAGCAGATCTTTACAGGATAATGTGTGCTTTTACTTACAGTAAAGGTAATTCAGTAGCAGATTCTGCCATTATAGTGTTTAGTGAACAGGATGAGTGGCTCACTTTCTTGAAGCAGCATGCCCCAGAAAATTGACCTGACCCATTTTCTGTGGAGTCAACCCTAAATCACACAGGGTGTGATAGAAGTTCAAATCCTGCTACTTCTGGAGACAAACCAAGAGCATCTGTCTTGGTAGACAAACACAGAAACCATTGACCTGCCATGCCTCCAAACCACTGATGCATTACTAAAAAGAATCATTATTATCTCAGAGGTTTCCAGCTTTTGAAGTGAAGTATCATCTGGAAACTGTGGGGTCTGGCGGCCATCAGAGAAACTATTCAACACCAAGGGCTGCCGTGCAGCAGGTAAGTATCTAGAATGACTTATTGTTTTGCCGCAGATGTTATAGATTAGTCTCTTCAGTTGAATTTAGCTTTTAGTATTCACAGCCAACCCATGGGTTACCATAAGGCAGGGGGTGCCAAAAGTTTGAGTTTAGGGTTGACTAGCATCGAGAGGTATATATTGAAGAGGGTTGGCTAGTAAAGACAATAAAACAAAGAAAATTGAAATATTTTGGTCACTTGAAACGTCATGGAAGTCTAGAGAGAACAATAATGGAGGGGTATATGCCTGGGAAGAGAGGAAGAGGAAGGCCAAGGAGAAGATGGGTGCAGGATGTGGCAGATGATCTCCAGATGGGTGTATCAGACGCGGGACATCTTGCTCAGGATAGGAAGGTTTTCCGGAGGGTTGTTATGGCAGCGAGGTTCCGCGAGGGACATGCTACTGAATGAATGAGCATCGAGAGCGGACCGCTCAGTAGCAGTGGTGAACTGCTAAGCGTAACAGTTGCCTAGTGAAATAACAGACACTGGGGGGAAAGTGCTTGGAATCGGTTCTGCAGGATCATGTAAAGGGTACACAGCCAAATTTGAAGGCTACTTTTCATCTCAGAAATTGCTGCAAGTCTATTTTATAGACTCTAGACTCTGTAGAAGGAATCAAACAGCAGCAATATTTTATTAGGACCGTATGACACAGACCCCACAGGATACTTCATTTGGCTTGCTAGTTGGCTAATAGATAGCAGTGGATGCATTGGCCAACTCTTCACTAAAGGAAAGAAAGATTAGTAACACTGTAACTTGCCTTTGACAGTGGCCGGGGAGAGTTGGTAGAAGGCTGAACTTTAGCTGTACACTCCAGCCAGTAATGAACAGAAGGGTTTGGCATGAGTTGGTTGACTCGTCCCCACTGATTCCCTACGTGGGTTTGGGGACCCCATTGTGGGGGGGGGGGGGGGGAAGAGGGGGGGGGGACATACCCGTTGCTCCCTAACAAGCATGTTGTCATAAAAGTCAACTAATTAGTACTTTTTCCTTCAAAGTCGGAGTGCATCTGTCTGAGATGCAAGAAACCAACAGTCTGCTTACAATAAGCCAAATTTGTAAAACGGATATACACACAAAACTCAAGTTCTGGAGCAAGACTAAAATCACGAAGTGAATGAATGACCGTAACTTTCCGTCGAAGTTTACAACCTGTGAACAAGAAGAAGATATCCTCATTGAGAGATAAAAGGCAGAAGATACTACATGCTACTTAAGATGATGTGCAGTTCAGCCAACTCAGGTGACTTGAGATATTTTCATATGCTGTTTCCTTTCTTGTAATTTTTCATGTCCTTGTTCTGGGGCCTCATTTTGGAGAAAAAAGAATGGGCCCAAACCCCCTAACAAGCATTTCATAAAAGGTGACTAATTAAAGATTTGCTGAAATTGGATATTGAGCCAGAAGGCACAAATATCACAGCCTATCTGTAAACCACATCACACAATGTGCCAACCACCTTTTTAGGAAATAAGAAGCAAAAATCATGGAATAATTAGCTTTACTTAAAGTAAATTTTTAAACTCAATGAGATTGCTCAGGAAGATAGAGAAGGGCTGGATCTGAAGACAGTGGCTGGAGTCTCTAAAGGCTGGATCTGAAGGCAGTGGCTGGAGTCTCTAAAGCGGTCGAGGCTTACACATATCAGTTCCATATTTGTGCCAAGGCACGCAGGCGTGCTAGGAATTGAGCTGGCTGATCAGCTTGCAGGTAAAGCTACTGTGGAGGGTGGACGAGCCATGGACCATGCTGATATTCTGAATGCTCAGCGAGAAGTAAGACGTTTGCTAGAACCAAGTGATGACTGTGAATCTGCAACAATAACCAGACTGCAAAAACAACATGATAAAAGGGGTGTGGCCAGACAAGAGGACTATTTAGGAAGCCAAAGAAGAAGAAAAATCCAACACAGAACTGGTGTCGTGAGCCGCTACACGGTGCAGGATTTACTAAGGAGGGGATCCGAGCACTTATGGACTGAATGGTTCGATGTGCAGTGAGGATAATCTGTCGACTAACAAAATTGTGATAGTTTTAGGGTATACATGTAAAAATAAACAATGATTATTTCTTGCTACAGTATATAGTAGGAAATAATTAATGAATGAATTGTTAATGCCCACTTCGTGTAGGACTTTCTATTTTGCTGTTTTTCTCAATGTTTCCTATTCAGTATTGTTTTCTTACCTCCTAATCATTGGGATATGTCTATTTCTTTCCACAGTCTCTGATAATCATGTCTTTATTGTTATTTTCATCTGTATTTAATGCATTATTATATATTAAACCATGCTTGCCTTGATACACTCAGTTGAACAGTAACCTCAGTGTTTTTATTTTGCCAACCCCAAACAAAACAAAAGACCCACATTTTGGCCAAATATGGAGGCAGGCATACGGTGACACTAATGACTGGTGATGGTGTTGGACCTGAGCTTCTGTCACATGTGCAAGAAATCTTCAGGTAAGACTTGCAAGTTGTTAACATTTCCTTGTTTATCTGGTTCACTTATATTTGGTCACACATCCTTATTTCTTTTTATATGTCTTTATCTATCAGTTAAAGTGATTCGATTGTTGGCTCAATAGCTGAAGTTTTCACAGGGTAATGATGCAGAGACATTTGTCTTTTTTTTTGTTAGATATTTTTCTGGAAATGTGGCATAACTTGTTATTTTAAATGTTGACTGCTGCGCTGGTCATAAATTTCTTTAGGGTGATGCTTCTCATTGAAAACCTGCACTTCACTCCACGTGTTATAAATTTCTATGATCTCAGCACTTGAAACTTGTACCACTTCTCCCTCCTCTGCTGAGAGCCAACCTGAGTACAACTGGTGCTTTTCAAGAGCTGAAAGCCATGTTTGTGCATTCATGCGCCGAGGTATTGTTCACGGGTGGAGCAAAAACTTGTATATAGCACATACATTATCTTCCCATCCTTTTTGGGATGCAGTTTTTCGTTATTTGAAACCCTACTCTGGCTCATGCCAGGGGTCGCAATATAGCCTGGCCATAAATCTGGCCTAATGGCTGAACGCGGTTTCAGGGACCTCTCCACGGTGATCCTCATCCACATGGTGGCACATTATGTCATCGGGTGTTTATCGCTTGTGTGATGTCCTGTTGGGGTAGAAAGTCAGCCGATTTGTTCATGATTAGAGGTGTTTGTAACCCGAGGTACTGTTGTATTTGGTTATTTGCTTTTTTTGCAAGAGTTGAAAAAATGATAATTTTGAGTCTCTTTTAAAAGCTGCATTCTGTTGTTTTTCATGTTGAAATTGTCATTTCAGATATGCAGGAGCTCCCATAGATTTTGAAGTGGTGGAAATAAATTCTTCCACAAACACACCTGAGGACATGTATAATGCAATTCTTTCTGTTAAGAGAAATGGTGTGGCTTTGAAAGGTATTTAGCAGTGTGTATACTGCCTTTCATTTTGTCTAAATGTGTACGTTCTCAAGGCATACATTAAACATGAGGTGATTGTTATTGTTGCACCTGTGTATAGAACGTTAATTTGATATATGAAAAGTATTATTTACAACAGTCCATGGTGACAGCACTAGCCACGTAGTCCTAAAACCTTAGATTCATACCCCCCCCCCCCCCCCCTTTTCCTTTCTGACTACACTGCCTAAAAAAGTGGTGAATATAGACAGTAGGGACAGTTTAGTTATTTATACACACACACACACACACACACACACACACACAAAACATGCAGCCATTAGTACGTCATTCTGTAAAATGCCTGCATTTTCAAGTGAAAAAGTTCCTTTGGTGCATGGGGCCGATATTTGTATAGACCAGTCACACCTCTGTTGACCACGTTACTTCCCAGGATATTTTCTTGCACCTGTTTTAGGCTATGTCAGCCAGGGAGAAAAAGTCAGTTTAGAAAAAAAAAATTTATAACTCACCTTGATGCAGATTTGAACCCTAGACATCAGAGATGAATTCAGCCTTGATTGGCACACACTGACCTGATGGTGATATTTTGATCATCAGTTACTTCCACTTTAGCTGCTGTATTCCCCGTATGGGTTCTGGGGCCCAATTTTTTGGGGGTTGGGGGAGGGGGGTGGTGGAAGATAAGAGAGCCACTGCCCCCTCCCCCTTTTCCGCACCCCAAGCATGTTGTAAAAGGCAGCTAATTAAGAATATCTCCTTCAAAGTCAGAGTACGTCTGCCTGAGAGTCAAGAAGCCATCACTCCTTATAGAACTAAACCAGATCTGTACAATGGTTATGACAATCTTTGTGAATGTACACTGTTGTTAATATTATTAGTCCCTATTCTCTATTGAACAAAGAAGACTCAAACAAGAGATTGCACAATTTATTGCCTGGCATATTTCGCTGTATCTCGTCAGGTGCATACTACAGTAACAATTACATAAATGAAGCAAATAAGTGAATCCTTTATAACCGAAGTACAGTTTCAACAACGATCAAACATAACTGCCTGTTTTTACCAGGGCAGCCGTAGAGACAGAACCTTCTCTTTCTGTATACAAAGTTCCGGGCTCAGGTGATAATTGGCAAAGCGGCGTAGAAAGTTTGGCTGACTGCTGTTTTGAGCTGGTCATATATATAGCATCATCCCCTTGATAGATTAGATGTGTGTAGACTTGTTGTTTGGGGACTGATGTTTCTGTGGTAGCTGGTTTAGGAGGCTGGCAGTGGCGCTTAATAAATCAAACTGGGTATCCGTTCAATAATAACTTTTGTTTGAGGATTTCTAGTTCAGACTGTAGCGTATCACTGGAGCAAATCTTTCTAGTGTGGTTGAATACATTTCCTACTAGGCCATGTTTGTACTGAATGGGTGCAAAACTATTAAAGTTCATATCCTGGCCCGTGCACGTATCTTCCTATATACTGATCATTGGGTGGTGCCATCTTCCCTTCATCTGATCAGGACATCTAAAAAGGCGATTGTGTTGTTACATTCATGTTGTAGGGACAGTGAGTTGTTTTTGTGTGCCCGGTTGAAACAACCAGTATCGACATACGCCAAATCAAATTGTATCTACCAGTTTAAATGTAGCTGTGAAGCTGCTTATGTGGGCAGAACTGATCGATGCCTGGAGAAACAAGTCACTGAGCGCATTCCAGTATGGGTGGAAAAAGCCATGCAAAATAATATTCAAAATGAGAATCACCCCTCTGCAATAGCACACCATCTTCTAAAATCTGGACAGGCGGTAACTAAGGACAATGCATTTCAAATCCTTCATATGTCAACTGGTGTCAGAACGCTAAGATTTCTCGAAGCTTCCGTGAATTGTCACCTGCGCCCGGAACTTTATAAAGGATTAACTTACTTGCTTTATTTATGTAATTGTTACTGTAGTATCACCGTTAGTATTGGAACTCTTCGCTGGCTGCTGAAGATGGGGACGGAGCGCTTATGGGAATGCCCTAAGTGCTGTGATGTCGGTTCTTGAATCAACTCAACTCAGATGGGTCCCAGATTGTTAAATTGGGGGCTTTCGTCAGATATTTGATTTTATGAATGATATTCTGATATTTAGGGGGTAAGGAAATCATAAAAAATGTCTGCCAGCTGTTAGTATCAACATGTGTGAGACAGAGAAGATTGTGCTGTATTAGACACAACTTGAGAAGAAATGAGTAGAGAATCACCAAACAGGCACTGAAATGATAACAGAGAAATTGAGGTTCCGAGGATGTCCAAGAGAAACTCTCTGGTGATGGTTTGATCAACCGATCGACATCATGGCACAAGGGTAGTAACCAGTAAGTGCTCAGTTCTGCTTCTAACTCGGGACTGAGCCTCGAGAGGCAGGGTATATGAAGTGTTGGTGTTGTGGGCGTGGGTAGTGGTCCCCCCCCCCCCCCCCCCCCCCTACTTCACCCTAGGTCTAGTGAATATCTGTTTATGAAAGGAACGTCCATTGCGGTGTCAACCTCTTTACCTAGCATAACCTCTTTTACCCCAAGACCATTGAGCGTGGGTGGTGAAGAGTCACAGCCTCCCCGAGGTAGTCCTGGTAACTAGGGGTGCGAATCCCCAGGCAAAACACAATGGATCTAGAGGAGCAAACCTTGATAATAAACCCAGTGCACCATACCGTACTGCCCCCTGTGGAACGGATGGAGCCAAAGGTGTGCTGAACAGTCTTAAAAGTGGAAACAAGTATGCCCCCCCCCCCCCCCCCCCCCCCGAATACCGGAAACTATTGTTAAAGCGCAGGGACTCAGGAAGTGGTGATCCAGTTGCCCCAACTTCTCATGTTTAGAGCCACGAAGAGCTCAGCGAAACCAGCAGGCAATCTGGTAGCGGGGAATGAGCACACTGTGAGCCCCACCTTAGCTACATGTTAAAGGGAAAGGCAGAAATGCAAACCCATATTTCCTTTATAACTGGTACAGGGCATTTCTGGCTGCTGCAGGCTAGGTAGGTAATCCACAGACACCCCATCACCACAATGCCATAAATATGCTTCTAACTCAAACCTGATTTTGAAGAATCTCAGCATAGTGCACAAACTCTGTAGCACCGGCGAAGATCATGAACTACTTTAGGTAGATTTTAAACTCAAAATTTTACCCAGGCAGCACCGTTGGGCTACTCTTTTTAATTTCAAACTGCCAAGGGATTTTTTACATGCACAAAAATACACACTGGCGTCTGATCTTACTACCCAGAGACCAGAGAAAATTACTAGAAGTCCACGTGAAAAAAAAAATCACAGCCTTCACCCGGGTCTGAACCCGGGACCTCTAGCACTTGAGGCAGACACCATGCCTCAAGACTATTCAGTCCCTCTCTGGTGAACATTAATGAAAGAAGACAGAGGTGTTCGACTGGATTTAATCTGTGATATCGAAGTGATTGCAAAGGAAAAAAAATGTGGCTTATAATGGATAATTGGCACAACAGAATGATTATGATCATTATGTTTCATTTATTGAGACTACAATATCCGACTTTGATGGCTCATTTAATTTACTACTTCATTGTCTTTTGCTTAAAAGTTACACCTGTATTAGTATTAATATCACTGTTATTATGTAATGTTTGTTGTAAAGTTATACATTTTTGTTTTGTTTATAAGGGAATATTGAAACAAAGTTTGATGATCCATCATTCAAGTCCATGAATGTCGCTTTAAGGTATGTAGAAACATTTTTATTTACTCCTTAACTGAAGTGTGAAGTGGGTCACTGACAACATTCAGTTTTATAAGAACTTGTCTGTTGGAGTAAATTAAGAATGTGATCTCTCTCTCTAGCGGTGTCCGTGGCTTAGGCGTTGCGAGTCTGACTCGTAATTCTAATGTACCGCGATCGAAACCCACTGCTGGCTGCGTGGATTTTTATCATGGTATGGGGCGTCACAGGTCGACCTAGCCTAAAGTGGGTACCAGGGTGGCTATCCTGGGGAAGTAAATGGGGCCGGCGTAATGCTGACCACATTACCCTCTTAGTGCTGATGGTCTGTAAAAATATGGGTGCTCTTCCCATATGCCCGATGCGTAAGGCGTGAAAAGAGATCTTTAATCTCTCACACGTACATGCATTAGGGAGGGAGGGAGAGAGAGAAGAAGAAGAAATCAGATATATATACAACCCTGTGTAAGATCCAGGACCATACTTTGGGAGAAAGAAGAATAGACCCTCAATGCCCCCTAACAAGCATGTCATGCATGGAGACTAATTAGGAGTTTGCTGAAATCAAAAGTGGCTGGCCGAATGGTTAGAACGGTTGGCTCTCAAGCGGGAGACCTGGGTAAGAATCCTCGGTAAGGTTGGGGATTTTTTCTATCAAGGGTGAAATAAAATCCTCATCTGCACAGTCGTGGTGACAGCACTAGCCATGCGACTGTAAATCCTCAGGCTCACAGACCCTCCTACAGGGCAAAAGTGGTAAAATAAAGGCAGTTTTGGCTGAAATCAAATGTGTTGGGATGAAAAGTTCAAATATTGCAGCCTAGCTGTAAACCACAACACAGCATGCCAACCACTTTTTTTAAAAAGCCAAATGCAGAAGAAGAAGAAGAGGATGTTTGAGGGCTTTTGCTATAATCATCATCATCATCATAAACCACTTCTGCCGTTAAGCGTCGTGAAGAAGAATAATTTGCGATCCAGTGCATGCTGGCTGCCATTGGCTATTGTCATGCGGTGAAGGCGTAGAGTGTCTCTTTAATGTTGTCGATCCATATTTCCACAGCCATCCTCTTGCTCTTGTAGCTGATCTTCTTATATGTAGTGCTTGTGATGGTATTTGATCTTGCTGCATTCTGACGAGATGACATCTATCTGGTTTCTATTTTTATGTTAATTCTACCATATTCCATGCTCACACTTCCTATATTAAAACTCCCTAACTTGATTCAGACCAGACTACACAATATAAAGACACTTAATGACATAAAAGCAGAAACAATAGTAGCACTACAGGAATTGCAGAAAAAGCAGGATGAAAGCCGTGAAGACAACAGCTCCAAGCAACTCCAAAGTGACCAAGATAACAGCGATAAGCCAATAGATGATAAACTGAAAGAAACACCGATGAAAGAGTCTACTGGCAAGCAGCATGAACCTGAAGAAAGACACAATACAGAAATGAACAGAAAGCTTCCACCAGGAAGCATCAAAACCAAAGAAGACCGAAGAAAACAAGCTCAATACGGAAAGAGACTGAGGGAAGAGATGAGAGAGACGACAGAGAAAACAACATCCACAGACACCTACCAGCCAGATCCAAAACGCAAAGTAACACAAAGGACACCAGACAAAGATGAGAAGGAGAAAAACAACAGCAAAGATGGAAAGACGAAATTACATAAAAGTCCTTGTAAGGACTGAGTACTATTACGTCATAGAAGCCAAGACAGAGAGGAAAAACGTGACGAGGAATAGAAACCAGACTCCACCAATCAGAAAATGGGAATCACAAGACGACGAGCGGATAGGACAGAACTAAAATGCACTATACAGATGTCTCCTACCATTGTCAAGAACGAAAAAAGAGACACAATTTAGAAATAGAAGACCCTTGCCTCCAGATACAACAACATCAGGTATCGAAGAACTTTATACAAGGAAGAAACAACATCAGTCAAACCGTTTAGAACAACATAACCAAATGGAACCGAAGGAAACCATATTCAAGCAAATCAAACTTAATAAAGGTCGCAAATATAGGCAGCAGCTATATAGCTAAAAAGCCTGATTGGATCAAATTATTTTTTTTGTTTTTTCAAGAAGCAAGCAAGCAAGCATTCAGACCAGAACCATTTAGCTGTATGTGTAGTTGGCCTGGGTTCTACTAACTTGCTTGTTTCAGTTTTGTTTGCATTATCTTTATGTTGTATTTACTGCATGCTGAGTTTAACCTTTTATTATGCTGTAATGGGGGGAAAAAAGCCAAAAGAAGAGGAAGAAGGAGAAAACTTAAAATTTAGTCACAGATTTACATGGGTGTTGAGGTTGCAGTTTTCTTCAAAGCTGGAGTAGTACATGTGTTTGAAATGCGAGGAGCCAGCAGTCTGCATACAAATACACCATATCTGTAAAACAGATGTGCATGCAAAACTCCAGTTCTGGAACAAGCCTTGAGCCCAGAAGTGGATGAATGACCAGAACTTTCCTCTGTAGTTTACAGCCAGGGAATGCCAAGAAGATATAGGTGCAATGCCCTTCATCATCATCATCATCATCATCAAGTTCTGGAACTAAAGTCCAAAAATTGATGGAAACAAGCAGAACTTTCTGTCAGCGTTTATAACTGGTGAACTTGGAGGGTAAAATGAGTCAAAATAAAAGATGTTATTTGGAAAACAAGAATAGACCCACTGCCTACCCAAAAGCATGTTGTAAGAGTCGACTATTTGGGAGCTTTCTTTGATGTCGGAGTGCATTTGCCTGAGGCAAGGAACCAACAGTATGCATACAAATGAGTCAGATCTGTAAAACGGAACAGACGTGACACTCAGGTTCTGGAACAGGACTGCAGTCAAGAAGTGGATGAAAAACTAGAACTTTTCCGCTCGAGTTTACAGCTCGTGATCATGAAGAAGAAGCAAGATGAATCAGTGTTAAAATAAGTAGATAAAAATATCTGGAAATAAAAATGATTCTGTCATCAGGCACATGATGCTAGACCCATATTGGCACTTGTTGGGTGCTGTGGTCTGTATCACAGAGTTGCCTTTACATCCCAGAACATTTTCTTCTACCTATTTAAGGCTAGGTCAGCTTGAAAGCCAAGGATTGGTAAAAAAAAATTCACCCAGCGCAGATTTAAACCCAAGACTTTTAATCCAGCAGAATTTTTGTAGGATGTGTAAATAAATAGAAGGATGTGTAAACAAATAGAAGGAAATGTAAACAAATAGAAGGATATGTAAACAAATTGGAGGATGTGTAAACAAATTGGAGGATAAGTAGAGAAGTAGACTTTTGTCAAGCTTCTAAAGACTACTAGCTAATTAAGTGAATCAGGAAATGAGGAAAAATTGTTGTTGGATATGTCACGCATGGAGAAAACCTGATAACAGTATAACAAGAATATCCTTGCAATGGAGCCCACAGGGCCAAAGGACAAAAAGGCAGATTTAAGTACACATGAAGAGGGGAATTAAAGAGCAGTTGTGGTTAGCTGATTGTGATGAGAAGGAATAGGACAGCTTGGCACGAGTATGTTGAGGACCTTTCTTCATTGAGATGAAAAAGGACAGAAAAAAAGCAGTTAGATTGGGGGGACTAGGAAGGAACTAAATGAGTTTGCTATTTTGATCATACATGAGTTAAAAATTTTGAAAAGAGCTATATGAAAAATCCCACTTTTGGGGATATCTCTATATTTGACAATAGACCGCTTTGCGTTGGTTTTGACAATGGTTTCAACAAGTGACCGTTCAGAAAGCAATTAATAAGCTGCTGATTGTACAGTTACCTTGAAATGCTGGGGTTGGTTTTGTAAAGGACTATACAATTGTTAATTATTTGCTTCTTGATCTTTCTGTTAATTGTTCCTTCTGATATCAGCACTGAATGATCTCCTTACAGGACAAAGTTAGATCTGTTTGCAAGCATCGTCAAGTGTAAATCTATCCCAGGTTTAAATCTCAGGCATCAAGATGTGGACTGTGTGCTGATTCGGGAGAACACAGAAGGAGAGTATAGACAGCTGGAGCATGAGGTATTACGGTTGAATGGCATGTGCTGGTAAAGTTTAAAGGTCTAACCTTGTTTGCCCTGAGAATACTAAATCTAGTTACTTCAGGTTAACACACATTCCTCATGAATACCCAAGTATCTTCATTTCTGCAGTGCCTGTTCTCAGAAAGTGTAGTCAAATGCCATTGGTTCTCTGTGTGCCTGCACAGTGTTTAATAGCCAGGATCTTCTTCTTCTCCTCCTCCTCCTTCTTTTTCATCTTCTGCTCTCCTCCACCTCATCCTTCTTCTTCTTCTTCTCATCCTCCTCCTTATCCTCCTTTCCTTTTCCTTCTTCTCCTTCTCCTCCTCCTCCTCCTTCAGCATTCCGAGCCCTTGAGGGTTCATTGCTGCAGATATCACCCGCCTCCACTTATCTCTCTGGTTGGCCTTCTGCTTCCAGTTGGTGACACCGAGTGTTTGTAGGTCTGTCTGGACATTATCTCTTCACTGTCTTCTTGGTCAGCATAGTGGTTTACCACCATTCATCTCCCTGGTGTATACAGGATCTGAATATAACTAACAATATTTGGAGGTGGGGGAGGGGGGAGGTTCCTTTTAAGCCTAATGATTTTTTTTAAATCACGGTTGGGGTAAATTTTTCCGTAAGCCTCATTGATAGAGGTCACGGGGTCACAGCATTAGTCACCCAATACATATTTGTTTTTGGTCCTGGGAAATCTATTCCATTTAATGCTTCAAAATTTTTGTGTTTATTGATTAGTCTCTCCACAAATCTTCCAAAAAAAATTTGAGTGTTAAACTGTTTTTACAAGGTTTATTTTAGCATTCACAGGGTGTAAGGGTGACAGTCGAGACAGCTGACTTCACTGGGTTTTATCTCGTATGGCTCAATCTCTCTCTGAGAATAGCAAACTACCTGTCGAAAATGTCTCAATAAATACAAACTCCATAGCCTCAGTGATGATCCCCAGGTATCTATAAAAATAACCCTCAGGAACAGATTGATGCATCTGTTAAATGGGTGCATGACTTCAGATCATGTGGAAAATGGCCAAACCATTCATTTAAGTGCACTTGTAATATCCCTGCTGCTCAGGAACAGTCTTTTGTTTCTGTGAATGAATGAATAAAAAAATTAACATCACTACACTCCATTCCGACTCACAGGTTGTAAGTTGAACTGGTCATATGTCAGATATATAGTTGTTCAACCTAATTTCCTTCAAAAGGGTTATAAGTTTTACATAAAACACAAAATTAAATCTATGTACATATAATTATTGTACATAATATGAAAAATACATAATGTGCACCCTATTGCATTCATTCTGGGAACATTTTAACTCCACCAAAGTATTTATTTTTAATTATTTACAGTTTTTAATTATTTGTTTTTGTTGTCAAGAGTGCGGATTATAGCTTGTTGATCTGTTAATTCTGCGCTGTAAATTATATCTCCAACTAAAAAAATGTCCAATATAGTTGCACATTTATGCTGATGTTCCATCTTTCTCTAGAGTGTCCCAGGTGTCGTGGAGAGCCTGAAGATCATCACAGCCAAAAAGAGCAAGAAGATTGCCCAGTTTGCATTCAACTATGCAGTGGAGCATGGCAGGAAGAAGGTCACAGCTATTCACAAAGCTAATATTATGTAAGGTCCCAATTCTCTGGCTTTTGTTTACTTAATGGCAGCTACAATGAAATAAAATTGTAAAGATGTTATAAATACTTATAACGCAAGGAGTTGACTGATTGACAGATTTGGAGAAGTCCCTAGAGTGAGAGACATGAAGTTAATGTGGAAATTAAAAAAAATAAAAAAACACAAGGCTAGTGTACGAAGTCTGGGGGATTTGCTTACTGGAAAGTCATTTTGTGACAGGACCCCAGAGAGTTTGGAGTGAAAGTGATTCCTGAATGAAACGAAGTGAACGTTCCTGAAATGCTGCATCAGCTAACATAATGTTGACCATATTACCCATCAAAGGCCACTAGTCTTTAAAAATAAGAGTAGCATCAATTGCCCAATGTGCCTCTGACATAAATTTTACTGCCTTCACTTATCATTTTAACAATGGATTTGATGTCAGATGTATGTCCTACAAGACTGTCTCTTGTACAGCCCATTAAGAAGGCTGAATGAATACTGGCCCATAGCGTCAGTGTCATACTCAGAATTGTATGAATAAAGAGGAACTGCAAAAACATTTTTATCATAAGATCTTGTCATCTCCATGTGTGTTCCAGTGCCTCGTGTTGGGGTAGGGGGGGAGCATAGACCCACTACCTCTTTTACAAACCTGTCCAGTCGACTGATGAGGGGTCTTTCCTTCAAATCAGAGTAAATTTGCTCAAGAGGCAAGGAACCAATAGTCTGCATGCAAATGAACTATATCTGTATATCTATGAAAAACTCAAGTTCTGGAAGAAGACTTAAGTCCAGACGAACAACTAGAACTTTTTGCCAGAGTAGACAGCCGGTCAACATACATACAAAGAAAAAGAATAAGAACTTGTTGGTGTAAATTAAGGATGCGATCACAAGAACAAGGAGACATTAGATGTATTTTCTCCCCATGTGGTTTCAAGGGCCCTACTTTGGGGTAAAGAAGAATACACTCACAGTATGTCTCTATCTGTCTGCTTGCCTGTTTGCTGCTGATATTATCCTAAACTTGAACAAAGAACAATCATCTCTTATGTAAACAGAAGGAATTCATAAAAAATTTGATTTACCCTGGTAAGACACATGATTATCATGAACTTGCAGCTGTTATTTATACAAACAGTGTATCAAAATAGACCATTTGTATTTCAGTAGAAATAATTCAGTTTGTATGCTTCGTTATGTGTTGATGTGATTTTGCAATTTTGCAGTAATGCACCTAATGAGAATACAACGAAATATGCCTGGCCATAAATTATTTGTGTCCACATTGTTTAAATTTCACTATGGGAAAACATTTTGTTGATTATATTTATGTTTGCTGATTACAGTAAATGCAAGTGTAGTAAATAAATAAAAATAGAACTTGTGCCCTCTCCATAATAGAGGTTGGCTGTTATGTATCCATTACTAACTATGGGAATATTACCTGGTGAGCCACCAATCTCTTCTAGGGTGTGACTCTCATACCACTGTCTGAAAGACACAAGAATGGTATTTTTCGACACCATTCACCATGGGAATCAAACCCTGGTAAATGTCAGTGCAGGATTGCATTGTCTTCTTCTTCTTCGCGTTCACCAGCTGTACACTCTTGCGGAAAGTTCTGGTTGTTCGTCCACTACTGAACTGCAGTCCTGCTCCAGACTGTTGGTTCCTTGCCTCTCCGGCAGATGCACTCCGGCTTCAAAGGAAGCTCCCCAATTAGTCGACTCTTACGACATGCTTTTGGGGAGGCAGTGGGCCTATTCTTGTTTTCCCCTACAATGGGGCCCCGCAACCCACACGGGGGGGGGGGAAATGCATTGTGAAACGATTTCACTGACCTCTAAACCACGGAGTCCCCTTTCAGTTAGAATAGTCATCAGGTCATTAACATCTTGTTTTATTGACACAGGAAACTGGGAGATGGGTTGTTCCTGGAGTGTTGCAGAGAGGTGTCCAAAGATTATCCAGAGATTCAGTTTAATGACCTGATCATTGACAACGCTAGTATGCAGGTCAGTTTTTTGCTTGTCTGCATGTACCCATTTTGCCTCATCTTGTAGAAAACTAGCTACAAAATCTAACCGATCATGATGTTTTTTTTTTTTTAAATTTAAAAGCAAATATTGAAAATGAGTGCAGAAATTACACATATTAGTACTTTTTATAGGCAAAGTCGAAATATAATATAATAGACTGCCCTTTCTGTTAACAAGTGAATGCAAGTCCAATCTTTCTCTTAACATGTCCAAAAACACTGACTGTTTAGCCTCATATGTTTTTCTATCATTCCATGGCATACTTTACATTCTTCTTCACGTTCACCCCCTGTAAACCCTGGTGGAAAGTTCTGGTTGTTTGTCCACCTCTTGACTTTAGTCTTGTTCCAGAACTTGAGTGTTGTGCGCACATCCATTTTACAGATCTGACTTATCTGTATGCAGATTGTTCGTTCCTTGCCTCTCAGGCAGACGCACTCCGACTTTGAAGGAAGGCCTCAAGTATTTGACTTTTACGACATGCTTGTTGAAGAGGCAGTGGGTCTATTCTTGTTTTACCCGCAGCAGGGCCCCGGAACCCACACAGGTTTTGACATGCTTGTCTTTCAGTACCTTTACTTAAATATGTTTGTGAGAAATTACTGTTTAAAAATAAAAACAAACAGTATATTCTCTATTGCATATACATTTTCCTACTTGGTTGACTGTTACTTACCATTTTCATAGTTTTCCTTGGGAATACATGTATCCTAAACATTACTCATAATTCAGTCAGTCAGGTGCCATTTCCACAGGGAAGGTTGTCTGCAATGGATCTCCAACACACTCTTGTCTCTTGTCCTGATTGTACACTCACTCAGTTTGCTGCCCCCCCCCCCCCATCTCTTGATATTGTCCTCTCATTTGTATCGTTGCCCACCTCTTGCTCTCGACCTTTCCCTCAAGCATGGTTTTTAGAGTGTGTTATGTCTTTTAATGTGGCCACAGTATTTAAATTGTCTTTTTTCGATTTCTTTCAGTAATTCTGTTTTCATTTGTAGACTTTCCAAAACCTCTGTATTGGACTGTTTTTGTTTCTGTGAAATATGACCTATTCTTCTGTATACCCACATTTCCAGAAACTTCAAATAATTTTCTGGTTCCTTGTTCAGTGTCCAGGTTTCTGCACTATATAGCAGGATTGGGTATACATAACATTTGACAATTCTCATTTTTAGTATGTTGTTTATCTCTCTAGCTGTCAGTAATTTGTGCATCTTTTTGAAAACAGTTGTAGCCATTCCTGCTCTCTTTTTTATTTCCGTATCGCATCTACCATCTTCTTTATTACGTGTCCTAGATACGAGAAACTTGTTACTTGTTCTAATCTCTCTCTCTGTTTACTGTGGTGTACACTGTTGTCCACTTTTTTCCATTGTTAATTACCACAGTTTTTGTTTTTTGAATGTTAATGCTTGAGCCATACTCTGCACTTTATCTGTTGACTTGATCCACATTGCTAACAGTATGTGATTTCATGTCATTCTAGATGGTGGCACGTCCGAGTCAGTTTGATGTTCTGTGCATGCCGAATCTCTACGGAAACATCTTGAGCAACATCGCTGCTGGTCTTATTGGCGGTGCTGGTGTTGTGTCGGGGATGAACATCGGTGATAACTATGCTGTGTTTGAATCTGTTAGTTCATATTTCTTGTGTTTTATTGTTTATTTATGCTGATATGTTCCCATAAATGCTTTGTTCTCGGATGCAGCAGCCACTCCTGTGGAAATGTGCCCCAGACAGCAGAGCATGTACACCAGGACTGCACCGATTTTGACACATTAAGGCAAACCTTTTGGCCAGAAAGAACAACAGTGGAACGTAAACTCTATGGACCACTGAATGAACTAACAACGACGGTGAAATTTATACAAGAGACAAAACTGCTGATATAGACAACTTATTTCAGGCGAACGAAAGAAGAAGAAGAAGAAACAGCCATTCCAGTATACATCTATCTATTTCTTTCATGAGAATTGGTTATAGTGTCTCCTGTCTTGACCTCAAAGACAATATAGATGTGCTTCACCAAGCTTTACTCCCAGGTTATGCAACTGTGTTATCGTTAGCGATTCATCATTATCCCGTAACCTAGTCCTTGCAGCGTTGATGAATTTAGCTCCATCCAAGCTTCTTCCCATTTGCGTTGGTGCATTACTTGCCAGCTGGTCGGCTCCTTTACTTCTGCATGCCTAGTTGTGGAGATCCAACTGACTAATGTTTAATGTTTAGTTCAGAATCGACATCACAGTACTCTGGACATTCCTGTTAGTGCTCTATCCCCATCTTCAGCAGCAAGTGTAGAGTTACAATTCCGGTGGTATCAAAATCAGTCTTATTGTATATTTGTCTCACCTTTTCCTTGAGTGCTGATCGTCGACCAGATCTCCTGGTCACTCTTGGCAATGCCAGTTTCTTCAGATTGTGATGATCCATCTGTTCTTCTACACTGTTCACTTGCCCTCAAAAGGACCCCACAATATTTGGCTTGTCAGGAATCATTTCACCACCAAGTTGTGCAGAACTAGCCAGTCTAGCTGACTGTTTATTTTCGAATACACCAGCAAATCCTTAGGAAAATATCCAAAGGATGCTAAATACCCGGGACCTCTGAAGCGATGCTTGCCACTCTTCACAGACCATACCGTTCTCCACCTTTCCCCACATGTTCTGTGAGTCGGTTACAATTATGACGCGTGTGTAAGGCTGATTCTCAAGCCAATAAAGGCTGCAGTGACTGCCTCCACCTCCATTCTCAAACTAGATGTTGTGTCAAATGTCAAGCTCTGCTGCACTAAGTAATGCCCATTAACTGTTGCTAAGAACCCTATGCACTTCCTCTGCCTCTGAGCACAGAGCCATCTTGATACCATCTTCAGATAATAACAAGAATGCTTTCTACCCATTCAGAGCGTAAACTATCTGTTGCGATTTTCTAAAGCATATTCATGAAGTAATTCATCATCATCATCAGACAGCAAGTCCTTTACAGAACTTCCCTCTCTTTACAGCACGCCTGAAAGTATCCCTTTCCCTAGCCAGCTCTCCAACCCCATGTGCTTTAATTTCCAATGCATCTTCAGTCAGTATCCTGTATCTTATCTTCATGGAGGTCAACCCCTGCCTCATCTTCAACAAACTGCACCTTCCAACACTGTCTTTTCCAAGCCACCATGACATAGTTATGCTGAAATATTTTAATGATCTGATACAGACTAGAAAAGTGCCCACTAGAAATCCAGTTGAGAAGAATATTTTAAGGACAGATTTATCAGAGGAACTTGGTGATGATACTGCTCTCTGATATTCTTTTCCATTTGTCCAGTTGACGTAAATGCATTGTGCTTATTAACAGCAAGGCTATGATATTTGCCTCTTTCGGCCAACACATCTGACTTCTTTAGACATGTGTTTATGTTAGATTTTGCCCTGATGTCATGTTTCTTCCTGATCATGTCATACTCCATCCTTATGCCTCTCTCCTAATCATGTCATACTCCATCGTTATGCCTCTCTCCTAATCATGTCATACTCCATCGTTATGCCTCTCTCCTAATCATGTCATACTTCATCGTTATGCCTATCTCCTAATCATGTCATACTCCATTATTATGCCTCTCTCCTAATCATGTCATACTCTATCGTTATGCCTCCTTCCTGATCATGTCATACTCCATCGTTATGCCTGCTGATCATGTCATACTCAGGCGTTATGCCTCTCACCTGATCATGTCATACTCCATCATTATGCCTCCTGATCATGTCATACTCCATCGATATGCCTCTGTCCTGATCATGTCATACTCCATCGTTATGCCTCCTTCGTGATCATGCCATACTCCATCGTTATGCCTCTCTCCTGATCATGTCATACTCCATTGTTACGCCTCTTTCCTAATCATGTCAAACTCCATCGTTATGCCTCTCTCCTGATCATGTAATACTCCATTGTTACGCCTCTTTCCTAATCATGTCATACTCCATCGTTATGCCTCTCTCCTGATCATGTCATACTCCATTGTTACGCCTCTTTCCTAATCATGTCATACTCCATCGTTATGCCTATCTCCTGATCATGTCATACTCCATTGTTACGCCTCTTTCCTAATTATGTCATACTCCATCGTTATGCCTCTCTCCTGATGTCATATTTCTCCCTTATGTATTCTCAATCTGACACGCTTCCTCTTGATATTTTTAAAGTAGATTAGATGCACATAATTTTATTTTAAAAAAGTAATAAAGTTTCGGTTTTGCAATTCTTTGGACAGGTAAAATATTCCTTGATATAGAAAATCATACAAATAAATATAATAATTGAAATAATATGAAATGTATAAATGCTTACTTACAATGCTCATATCTATGTATTGTTGGGGACCACTGAGTCTACTTGCACATTTACCTAAGAAGGCACATCATGATGTTGTTGAAAATCAGATGTTCCTGCTTAACCAGCAAGGCACCTAATTTCTCCCATATCACACCACTTAACTCTGTACATACATCTTGCCACTTTGCAATTGAAGAATTGTCAGTAAATGTTCTCTTGAGAAAAGAACTGGGAATACAAGAGTTACTGAATGTCTTGTGATGTCTTTCTGCCTAATTTAAATCTGTTGTTGATCTCAGGGTACTAGGAACTCTGGGAGATCCATGAAAGGCAAAAACATAGCTAACCCTACAGGAATGCTGTTAGCCAGCTGTGACATGCTTGACTACTTGGGGTAAGCATGTTAATCAGCAGATGTTTTTTTTTTTTCAACAAATGAAATATATTACAGCAATCATATCTCTAGTCTATACAATTTTTTAAATATTATTTTAATGCCCTCCATTTTGACTGGACTTTCTACTATTTAGGAGTGTGTATATAAAAAATTTCCAATAATTGCCTTTATGACCAATTGTGGGGTGCATGCAGGGGGGTCTTTGAGCCTAAGGATTTACGGCCGTATGGCTAGTGCTGTCGCCAAGACTTTGGGGTGCATGCAGGGGGGGTCTTTGAGCCTAACGATTTACAGCCGCATGGCTAGTGCTGTCGCCAAGACTTTGGGGTGCATGCAGGGGGGTCTTTGAGCCTAAGGATTTACGGCCGCATGGCTAGTGCTGTCGCCAAGACTTTGGGGTGCATGCAGGGGGGGTCTTTGAGCCTAAGGATTTACGGCCGCATGGCTAGTGCTGTCGCCAAGACTTTGGGGTGCATGCAGGGGGGTCTTTGAGCCTAAGGATTTACGGCCGTATGGCTAGTGCTGTCGCCAAGACTTTGGGGTGCATGCAGGGGGGGTCTTTGAGCCTAAGGATTTACGGCCGCATGGCTAGTGCTGTCGCCAAGACTTTGGGGTGCATGCAGGGGGGTCTTTGAGCCTAAGGATTTACGGCCGCATGGCTAGTGCTGTCGCCAAGACTTTGGGGTGCATGCAGGGGGGGGGGGGGGGGTCTTTGAGCCTAAGGATTTACGGCCGCATGGCTAGTGCTGTCGCCAAGACTTTGGGGTGCATGCAGGGGGGGTCTTTGAGCCTAAGGATTTATGGCCGCATGGCTAGGGCTGTCGCCAAGACTGCAGGTGAGTAGTTTATTTTGCCCCCGACAGAAAAAATCCCCAGCCTTACCGAGGATTTGAACCCTGGTCTCCCGCTTGAGAGCCCAGTGTTCTAACTGTTCGGCCAGCCACTCCTCTGGAGCGTATATAGAGTGGCAAATATCAGGAGGCTGTTGGACATGATGAAGTATGATATGAAGAGGAAGAATGATATTAGGAAAAAGCCTCCGAAAAAAGAGGTTGACCGCAGTGAATTTATTGCTTATATTAAGAGAATATTACCTGGTGGTCCCAGTTTCTTTCATGTTGTGACTCATACCACTATGTGAAACAGTCTATTTTCTAAGCTGCCCACCGCAGGAATCAAACACTGGTAAACATTGAGGATTGCATTGTGGAATAATTACACTGACCTCGAAGCCATAGAGCAGCATTATCTTATGAAAAACCAGCTATAAAATATTTTCAGCTGCTGAGGTATTTTTGTTAATGAGCATTTAAGGCACTTATGTTGGAGTGGGACAGACAGAACTACAAAAATTGGATTTCTAAGAGCATGCATCTTTTCCATTGCAACATACGCCTGTGAGACCTGGACACTTACCAAACAAGCTGAACAGCACATAAATGCCTTTGAATACAAATGTTAGATGAATTCTAAAAAAATAATGGGTAAAGAAAAGAACAAATGCATCCATACTTTCAAGAACTGAATATTGATTGAAAAAGGTTGGCTATCTTTTTGGTCTTCTTCGCGTTCACCAGCTGTAAACTCTGGCAGAAAGCTCTGGATGTTCATCCACTTTTGGACTGCAGTCCTGTTCCAGAATCTGAGTTTTACGTGTGCATCCGTTTTACATATCTGACTCATTTGTATGCAGACTGCTGGTTCCTTGCCTCAGGCAAATGCACTCCAACATCGAAGAAAGCTCCCAGTTAGTCGACTCTTTCGACATGCTTTTGGGTAGGCAGTGGTTCTATTCTTGTTTTCCCCACAATAGGGCCCCGGAAACCCACATGGGGAGGTTGGCTATTAAAAATGACAAAACGCAGAAAATTGAAATATTTTGGTTACTTGAAATGTCATGAAAGTTTAGAGAGAACAATAATCAGGGGTATATGCCTGGGAAGAGAGGAAGAGAAATGCCAAAGAGAAAGTGGGTGTAGGAGATGGCGGATTATCTCCAGATTGGTGTATCAAACACAGGATATCTTGCTTGTGATCGGGATGTTTCCCTGAGGGTTGTTATGGGAGCAAGGTGTTTTAAGGGACATGCTACTGACTGATTTAGTGCCTTCCCTAGAGAGGGCTAAAACATCTGGCTCACTACTGCAGGATTTAGAAGGGTAAGATACTTTCTGTTTTTGTAAATGCAACCAGATCTGCTGCAAGAGTTATAGGCAAACATTGTAACCACTGAACATCTTGAGTCTCTTGCATAGATATTTCCTGTTTCACAAAATAAATTATTTACAAGATACAATTTGTCATTTCATTCACAGACATGGGGCTCATGCTAAACTGATTCGAGAGTCTGTGATGACAGTACTGTCAGAGAAGCAGGTAATGACTTTTTGTTTTTAAATTTCTCGCCATTATGGGGGTCAAAAAAGAATAGACCCACTGGTGCCCTAACAAGCATATCGTAAAAGTCGATCAGTTACGGGTGCTTCCGTCAAAGTCAAGAGTACATCTGCTTGTGATGAGAGGAATCAGTGTGCACATGCACACAAAACTCTCCAGTTCTTGAACAAGGCTAAAGTCCAGATGCATAAGAACAATCAGGACTTTCTGCCAGAGTTCATGGCCAGTGAACGTGGAGTAGAAGAAAAATATGTATTTATTTCCTGTTTCTTTTACGTAAGTAAAGATGAGAGTGATACTGCCACTGACATGTGAAGTATTTTGAGCCTTGGCACTGTCTGAGTTACAGGATACTGAGTTGTGGTAACCACTTTCATTCCACATTGCCTTTTCTTCCTCAGACGAATTCTAAAAATTAAATATGCAGTTTACCTCGTCGGTTCTGCTGCATCATTGTGTGTGGGGGTGTAGTCCACTGCCCCCCCCCCCCCCCCCCCCCCACCCCCACAAGCTTGTCATAAAAGGCTAGTAATAAGGAGATTGCTGAAAAGCTTGCCCACCGAGAATATCACACAAAACATGAACTTCATAGCTCCTGTGACAATCCCCAGGGATCTCTGTTTAAAAAAAAAAAACGCATATGTGAACCAACCAACACATCCGTGAAATGAACCTATGATCTTCAGAGCGCGAGGCAAGCAGCTTGACCACTTCAGTAGATCAGAAGTACAAGAAAGGTCAAGCAGGGTTATTTAGCTGCAGAAAAGCGGCAGCACAGCGAAAGCAGCATGGGTAGTATTCAGTTGATGTTACTGTGTCTAATTTATGAGTCATTTATCTAATCTTTATGCCTTTGGTTAGTGCTTAGTATTATCTGTTGGTTTATAAATACTTTTGCTTATGCTCTAAAGAGCCTCAATTGCAGGTTCTCTTTAAAATACAAGTAAAGTTAGGTAAATATAGGACCCTTTTCTACACCTTCAGGCATATTGGGCAAATAGTTAGTTAGTTAGTTAGTTAGTAAAGTCTTTCCTCTTAAGCCTAGGGCTGCACATAGGCAGAAGTCATAGCACTCCATGTCTGACGGTTCGTTGCCACCTGTTTTAGGTCTTAGATGATGATTCTACGCAGGGTCTCTCTTGGTCTTCTCCATTTTCTTTTCCCTTCCAGTGTCCATATGAGGGCTTGATAAGGGAGTCTTGTCTTATCAATGCTGAATGCATGGCCGATGTAGTTCCATAGGGGCTTTCTTATAAAATTGGATACATTATCTCGTATCTAGCACAGTGGTTCTCAGACTATTTTCACTGCTGCACCCTTGTCGGGCAAAAAAAAAAAAAGATTTCGCAACACACCTACACTTAAAGAGGTTTGAATACTTAGGAATTTTGTGAGATTGGCATTCTTCTTAACTGCCTACTGCGTGAATCGAACCCTTGTAAACATTGAGAGAATGTTTATGATTTTCTTATCTTCAGATTAGAACACCAGATATCGGAGGAAATGCATCCACTTTAGATGTAGTCAAAGCTATCATTGATGATATCAAGCCTAAAACACTGGCATGGTAAGCAAGTGTGATAAGCCAGTTATGAATGTTAAACTTCAATGAATTGTGTGTGTGTGTTTTTTTTTTTTAGGCGTTTGCACAGTATTTTGTACTTCATAGTTTTTTTTTTTCTATTAATGTAAATGCTGACAAGTCTATTTTGCATATTGTGTGTTTGTTTTCTGTTTTACTGACCTTATCACTCCTTGTGTTTTGTCTGGTTGTAGAAAATATTAACATAATACCATTTTCCAATCTTCCAGCTTGACATTTAGATTACTTTATTTCTTTTCTGTGACAGAAAAAAAATAATGTTTCATCCTTTCAAGGAATAAGTTATAGCGTTTTACATCCACCAAAATGTAGCTGTAAGTGTAATGTCCAGAATGTTTAGAAAGTGAAGTAATTTCCTCACTTTTGTTCAAGCCTCTGGTCACTTGTTTTAAACTTTTAGGGAATCCGGACGCATGTAGGAAATACAGGTAATCCTATGAATTATTACCAGAAATTTATTTATCCTTCGCAGAATCTACCAGGTACACGCCACATTTTGCACAGAATATATGACTGCTGAATATCCTTAATTCATTTTCTTCATGCATAAATTGTATCACATTCCTGCTTGAGTCTCCTATGCATTTACCTGTTAATTTGCTGGGTGTCTGGTGCAGCATGAGTTGAGAACTACTGGCCGTGATAATACACTTTAAAAAAATGTCAAGTATGCTATCTCCTGCAAAGTTTCTTTTATATTTATTGAAATGATCCTCACCGTATGAGGGTTGGTTTGTCTTGCTCTTCTGCTTTTCTTTTTCTTTTTTCCTCACCCTTCTAAATGGAACATAGGTGCGATAGAAATGTGACCTCATCACATAAAGTAAAGGACTCTTTTCCACGCATTCAGGCGTATTGGGCATGACCTATATTTTATAGACCGATCGACATTCAGAAGGTGATGTGGTCAACAAAATGTTGGCCCTTCACCATATTTAAAACAAAATACATATCTGAGGCATTTCTAACTACAGTGCTTTTGATAGCTAAGTTTTTCTACAACATGAGGTAGCCGCCTACCTTAGTTGCCCCTAATGACATGCATGGTAAGTTGCTGTGTTACTGTTTCTGGCTTTTCCCCTCTTTTTAATTCAAGTAACACAAAGGCTATCATAACAGCTGCATGATTTCAAATATTGTCCTATTTTGTATCCAAGCGATGTGTATTTAAAATGAAACCAAAAGACAAAAAAAAAAAAAAAAAGATATCCTTGAATCCTATGGATAAATAACAAACAGAAACAGGTGTACATATCTTGTGAAATTCCGCGGGTCATGGTAAATTGTGGGTCCTAATCATGATTACGTCATGCTGTTGCACTTGACATTGGGCTTGCAGCTTGGTCCATTATTATGTAGTCTCCTTTGTTGTCCTTTTAATATAATGGGCGGAATTCAGCCCCACACCCATGGCTTCTCTCAGCAATATGTGTTTTAATCCTGTGAAGCTGGTCCTTTAATGGAACTAACTTTCATGAATTCCGAGCCATCAGTTGCTGTGATGTTTTGAAGAGAGAATGTTTTCTATAGAAATTGCTGTGAGCCGAGTTACTGGTAGATGAACCTGTTAAAGATGTATATTTTTGTGATCAGTGTTATAGGGATTTTTCTTGCCATTGCTTTTTTCTTGACTGTGATAGTCAACAAAATGAACTTTCCATTACTGCCTGCGTTTACAACTTGTGCGGTGTAGGCGGGAAGGGGTCTTTGAGTGTGAGGATTTAGGGATTTTTATTATTGCTCCCAACAGAAAAATCTTATTGTAATGAACAGTGAACTGGATGCCTGACCTTCTCAGTGAAGAAATAGCATGCACAATGAACTGGTGAATACTTGACAGTTAGAAATTGCAAACAGAATGCCAAATAGACCACTGTCCAAATGAAGTGTTAAAACAGCAAAAACCTGTCCAGAAACGCAGTAAATATTGTCACCATCTCTGACGAGAAGATAATAAGTAGATCTATTGCCAAGTAGATCCTTATCCCACGGTATTCTAAGATTCTTAGTTTGCTCTGAATATTGAAGCTCATTTTGTAACCTCACTGGCTGATGATTCGCATATGAATTGAATTTTATAATCTTTTTTTTTTTTTTTTTTTTAAAGATTCACTATTCTTGTCATCCAATTTTCTCTTTCTGCCTTTGCTTCTTTCTCCTGCTCCCCGCCGCTTTTTCCCCATGTACACATTTGAAAAAATACTTTTGCTTGAAATTTGTGTGCCAATTTTATTTAACATATCAGTTGCAAATTATGCATTTTTGTGTATTTTTTTTTTTGGGCATATTTGGCTAGTTTTGAAATTAAAACTTCTATTTTTTAATAAACACAGGAGTCAGAACAGGCAGCATGATTCCTATTTGGAATGATACTTTAGTGGATTTTATTTTACTGTTTGATTTTTTTGTTGGTGTGTAAGTATGGTAACATTTTTGCATGTACTAGTCAGTTTTTTTGTTGAATAGATTAGTGTCTGTGTGACAGATTTTCTATATTATTAACATTGTTCAGTATAACCTTTCTGAAAGTGTAATAACCTGTTAAAACAACTGTTGCATGTTTAATCACTGTTATCACTGAATGTAAGGTTTTCACAGAGATTGTACTACTTTTGACGGTTTGAAAAGATATAAGTCAAAACGATAATTACATCTAGTCAGCTTGGCATTATGACAATCACAAATGAAAAATGAGCATTGCGGCTAGAAACCTGTACATTTTTTAGTCCCAGGCAGTGTTAAACTTCTTCTTTTCTGGATGGTTGTTAAAATAGGTTAATAACTGTTTGAATGTAAAGTATCCTAATTAATATTATGAGATATTCATGATTTAAGTACAATATTTGAAGGTAATGTAACACATGGAGGGACTGCAGGAAGTTTAGAATCCCATCATTCTAGAAATAAACGATAAACATGTGGTACATTTTTTGTTCAAAAGTATGGTGATTGAAAGCCACTGCTGGCTGCGTGGATTCATATCACGGTATGTGGCGTCGCAGATTGACCCAGCCTAAAATTGGTATTAGGATGTATATCCTGGGGAAGTGAAGATGGCGGGCGTAATGCTGACCACATTAACCACCTAGTGCTGATTAGTCCGTAAAATATGGGTGCTCTTCCCAAATGCCCGATGCGCCTAAAGGCGTGATAAGGGACCCTTACTTTAATTTTTACTTACTTACATTTATTGTATTCAGGGAGTATTCAGCATATGACACACACACAGAAACAAGAATACACAAAATCTCCTATCTCTTTATAAGTTGAAGTCTCCCGCAGAAATATCCACAACACTTCTGAACAGATGAAACTCTTGAGTCACTTTTGACTATTTTGATTAGCTTTGATATATTTGTTTGGGTGTGATAGTTTTCTTCTTACACTTCAACAACTGAACCCAGTGCAATTAATATGCTTGTGTGTGTGTTGGGTGGCTATGTATGAGTGTTTGTTGGTGAGGAGAAAAAGTGACATCCATAGTTAACACTTTCAAATGTCCTATGAAGCTTCTGTTACAGTGCAGACTGCTAAAGGCAATTTTAGATGGGACACATTTCTGCTGTGAAGAAGAATTTGTTTATCTCTGGCAATATTTCTTGCTTGAAGTCTCACCTGGATAAGAAGAATTTCTTACAAGAACCATTTCTTAGGTTCCTGGTGAGTTTTCCTTATCAGGTCTACACTGTTTTACAAATTTAAGGGCTTATTTGTGGGAACGGCAACATTTGTTAAACTTTAAAACATCTGATACAGTTTATTTTAAGTTCAGTATTTCATTCTGTAATTCACATTTTTTCAACCTCCTAATTTGTCCTTGTGTGGCTGCCAGTTCTGTAATAACATGAACATACAATATTGTGTTATAGTAAACTAGTATTAGTTCACTGACACACAAGACATTGCTAATGGGATTCTTCTTTTGAGTCATCTTTGTATTCATTACGATGTGTTCACCCTGCCAACTGTGCACTGTAAGACAGACGTGTTTCCTTACACTGTTTTATTATATTAACAACTCTTGATGTTGAATGCACATTTTCCTAATCTCACATTAACAAGATTTTCTTTTTTCTCTTTACAATTTTTATGTGAACTTTGTTGTTTTACGACAAGTCATTTTTAACCACAGCTTTTACTAACCTTTCTAATGTATTGTTATGTATGAGAGATAAAATATGATAGTTTAAAGAAAAGTGCCATTATTTTTTTTTCTTTTCTAGTTACTCCTGCAGCCATCTTTATTCACATCATTTCCACTTCTTTTTTTCTGGTTGTTTTGTGAGTGACCATGTCTGACACTGGTAGCAAAGAGTAGGAATGAATATGCTTTGTATGAGATGTTGTATGCCTTTTATGATCAGGATTACCTTTTGCTGTAAGAGGGAGGGCTAGCCTTCCCAATGCTTTGTTTGCTTTACTACATCTGATGTTCATTTCTTCATTCACTTTCCCATCTTTGGTAAATGCTGTTCCCGGATATATAAACTTAAATGACTGTTAAATGCAATTGCACTCTACTGCTGTATTTAGGCTTTGACTTTGATATTTAAAATCCTGAATTTGTTTGAGAATCCTAATAAAACTGCCACTCTCCCACACAATGAGAGTGAAATATATAACCAATACTAACCTCACCTTTTCTTTAGTCTTCACAACTGGACAAAGTGTAAGTTCGGTTATTAACTTCGTAGTTTGTGGCACTTCTTGCTGGTGTCTTTAGGACACCTGGAGATTATACTTTGTGTAATATTCGGTTGCACTTACCTGTTGTGTTGGACGTAAATTGTGCTATTTGTATCCTTTTGTTGTATCATCATAGCACAGTTTAATGGCTTCCAGAAATTGTAATGATTTCTCTGTCTTGGTAGTCATTGGTCCTAGCTGTGACTGTTTGTGTTAATACGTTTTTTATTTGTTCTTGTCTCATCCCTTTGAGGGTTATGGGGCTCTGCTTTAGAGAACGAAGCATAGACCCACTGCCTCCCTCACACGCATGTGCTGGCATCTGTTGTATCATCCATTTGTATTTGTCATAGTTGAATTACACAACTTAGCTGTACAAGGGCAAGCAGTCTTCAATCCTTAGATCTCCTACAATTCTGACAACACTAGCAATGGTACAATTGATGTCTTCTTTTTTTTTGTTTCTTGTTCCACCCTTTGTCCTCCATGGAGCATTTGCACGCAGCCAGCTCACGTTGTCACCCTGCTCTTTGTCACCACATACAGTTTGGCAACCAGACACTGATATACATTAAGACTGGTATAAAATAAGATAGATATTGTTACTTTTCTTTAACAGTTTTTTTCAGTGGTTTTATTTAACTGATAGTTTCCTTTCTCTCATTTTCCTATACCTTTCCCATTTATTTAAGTGTTTTAAATGTGATTTTATGTAATCTTTTTCTTTCTTTCTTTCTTCTTATTCTTCCTCTTCTTCTCTTTCTTCTTATTTTTCAGTATTCCGAGCCCTTGAGGTTCATTGCTTCAGATATCACCCGCCTCCATTCATCTCTCTGGTTGGCCTTCTCTTTCCATTGGTAACACCAAGTGTTTGCAGGTCTCTGGACATTATCTCTCCATTATCTTTTTGGTCTGCCTCGTGGTCTACGACCATTCATCTCCCTTGTGTCTACAGTTTTTACCTCTCTGTCATCTGTCATTCTCTCAATATGCCCCAGCTATTTCAACCTATTAGCTGTCATAGTATTATATGTTTTTCTTTGATTTCATAATTTGTTTTGTCTTTCATTCAGTTTGCATCAAATGTGAATTCTTATGTATTTATATTTATATATGTATCTAGTATATATCTATGGATGTGCATATATTATCGATTACTTTAATTTAAGTTCTGGCCGATTTAAAAAAAAAAATAGCGCTCTAATTTTATTTATGGTTTTATTTTCTTGTTCTTATTTACCTAATCTCCATGTAGCTATCCATTATCTCCCTTTGTGGGTTCTGGCGCCCTATTTTTCGGAAAACAAAGAGTAGACCCCCCACAAATATTAAACAGCTTGCTGAAATGGATTAGTTTGGAAAACATCGTGACAGTTGGCCAGCTTGTTTTGAGGGTGTGGCAAGGGTACATATCTGATCCATGATTATGTTTGGATGGCGAAGCACGACCAGCTGAACTTTATACGGTGGATATGTTGAAATATAAGATCACAAAACAAAAAAATCTGCCTTGTAGCAAAAGAGGTTGATTGTTGTTTCTTCATTCCAGCGTTGTGGAGGGCAAAATTTAAGGTATTATTTTTATGAGCTGACTGCAGATTTGGGGTTTTGTACGATTTAGAAAGTTCATATTTGTTGAGTTTGATTTAGGTTTCAGTTTATTCAATTATATAGGGAGGAACATATTTTATTTATAATCAAACTAAATTTAAAAAAATGTTAGTATGATGATTATTACAAATACAGATGTACTCATTTAAACCCCCACCTCTCTCTCTCTCTCTCTCTCTCTCTCTCTCTCTCTCTCTCTTTCTTTTTCTCTCTCTCTCTCTTTCTCTCTCTCTCTCTCTCTTTCTCTCTCACACACACACTCCTCCCCCCACATCCCCAAGTTAGAGACCATTGATCTATAAACTTATAGGTAGCACCATTTGTCCATACATCTCAAACAATGACATTGGACCTGTGTTTTATTTGAAATCTTCAGGTCGAGATAATCGACTTTGTTTCACCAGATTATCCCATATAGCTTGGTCTCTGTTTGTAGAATGGCTAGCCACCTGCCCAGAGCGTTTGTACAAAATGTGAGCTCCAGAGCATTGACTTTGTTCCCTAAAGGGTCTCCTTAAAAACTTGCACTCATGAAACTAATGGCGTGTCCCCAAAACGATCCCATGACCTTCAGAGCACAAAGGCAAACGGCTTGAATACTTCCTCATGGAAAATAAAACTACTAAGCTCTTCCTCTTGACTTTAGACAAGGTAACCCATTTCTTTTTTTTTTTATTTTTTTTTTATTGTGTGTTGCGTTGACTAGGTTGATGTTGCACATTTTTCCTGTTTATACTAATATAATTTTATATCAGTTATCATTTTTTTTTTCCTAATCACTAACTGACATGCTTAGTCAAAACACTCAGAGGTGTCATGAAAACATTTTATTTTCAACTTAGGAATTTGGGTGGAAAGTTGTTAAAGTGGAGTTCGTTGTCGATTTAATAGTTATTCGTTTTAACTGCCAATTAAATTACACTAGTTAGTAAAGGTTGAAGATGATTACTGGGGGAAACATGAGGTAAAAAAGGTGTCCTTTACACTAGTTAGTAAAGGTTGAAGATGATTACTGGGGAAAACATGAGGTGAAAAAGGTGTCCTTTACACTAGTTAGCGGTAAAGGTTTAAGA